TCTTCCCTAACCAGCAGCGGCTCCTGGGGAGTTCCCTGAGGGCTGTGGGGTCTAACACAACTAGAGAGCATGCCAGGGTGCTGAGGGGCAGCGAAGCCCTGGGTACTCCAAGGAGAGTCATTCTAGATGACCAATCATCCTCTTCTCTTTCGCTGGTCTCCTCTCTCTCCTGCTCCCTCTTCTCCCTGCTCTGGGGAAAAAAAGACTAGTTTCCTGACTCAAAGGGGCTCAGAGCAGAGGAGCTGATGAGCTCATCTATAACAAGATGTCAATGGCCCCATGTCGTCTACTTAGATGCATTGTGTGTATTAGAGACCCAGAGCAAGGGCTTAACATAAAGACATGACTTTTTTATGTGTGTGTGAGGAAGATCAGCCCTGAGCTAACATCTGTTGCCAATCCTCCTCCTTTTGCTGAGGAAGATGGGCCCTGGGCTAACATCCGTGCCCATCTTCCTCTACTTTATATGTGGGACACTGCCACAGCATGGCTTGATAAGCAGTGGGTAGATCCGTGCCCGGGATCTGAACCTGCGAACCCTGGGCTGCCAAAGCGGAGAGCGCAGACTTAACCACTACGCCACCGGGCTGGCCCCAAGACATGATTTTTAAAGTTCTGAGTTTCTCAGAGTAGTTAAGGAACTTGCCTAAGGATACACAGTATTAGACCGAGTATAAGAACTGTCTCTTTTCACTAGCCTAAGCTGTTTCTCCAGCAGTTGTGGCCGAATCACAGAAAACCAAAAGGAATATCTCAGAGACTGTGTACGGCAGTGGTTCTCAGCTTGGCCGTGTGTCAGAGTCACCTGGAAAGCTGATAAGGGTTACAGAGACCTAGGTTCATCGACATGGGAATCTTGCCTAGGTTTTGGGGTTTGTACTAAGTTCTTTGAGTGACTCTGATATTCACCAGAATTTGAGAACTACTGATGGACAGTAGGAAGGAGCCTACACTTTTTGCCTAACGAGCCTATTTTTCCAGGCTTCCACTTTTTGCTGTTGGGTATTGTCCTGGGAATGTAGGAGTCCAATCAGTAGTTGTTGAATGAATAGATGGATGAACAAATACATAACAAATCAGTTAACACAGAGGATTGCCTAACTTGAGCTCCACTGAGGCTTGTTGTCGCTAAGTCTGCAGTCTGTTTAGGGCCGGTTTTCAGAGCAGCCACACAGAAAAAAGCCTGAGTTTCATGTCTGTGTATTACATCGAGAGTGACGTGAGGGTCCCGTTGGAAAAGAAATGCATGCAAATAAATAACTTTCCTTTGGGTCAACAATAACCATTTTTAAAATACAATGGAAAAAATCCCATTTCATTCTTAATGGCATCCCAAATTAAGCACGATAAAATTAAAAATCTTCTTCTCAGACTAATTTTTAACTTTAAGACTGTTCCAATTGATATCCCAAAGGAGATTTCTTGAAACTTGTCAAAATGGTTTGGAATTTCATCTGATAGAATAAATAGCCAAAAATAGCCAAGAAATATTTTTAACAGAAAAGTAATACAGGAAGACTTTTACAATGATAACATGTATTATAAAATGACTACAGTTTAAGTAGTGGGAAGGTAACAGAAGTAACAAAGAGGTGAATGGAAAAAACAGATACCCACCAAACAGAATTCATTTGCATCTAAGTACTTAATATGTGAGAAACATGGCATTTCAAATTCAAGGGAGATGACTTCTTTTAATAAGTGATACTGGCATTGCAATTTATAAAATATATTTTAAAGAAAATAAACCTCAACAAACCAGAGGTGCTGCTTTTTTCCAGGAAGACTGAAAAAATAAGCGTATTAGCCAAAAAGTTTAGGATCCTTCCTACTGTCCACCAGTAGTTCTCAAACTCTGATGAATATTAGAGTCACTCAAAACCTGCTACCCCCTCGTTCGTCGGGAGAAGAGGTCTGGCATTGTAGGGAACTGTGGTTTCTCTACCCGAAGGAGCTGGGCTCAAACCCTAACACTGCCACTTATCAGCTAAGCCCTTTGGATGTGTTACTGGATCTCAGTTTCCTCGTCTGTACAATGTGCACAGTAACGGTGCCCACACGTGGGCTATGGTGAAGATTAAATGCAATGGTGCTGCAGGTTCTTGGCAGATAGTAAACTCTTGTGAAATGCTACCAAGATCCCCCAGATTTCACGCTTCATCACGCTTTTGCATTCACAAAGAACTCGTTCTCAGAACTTTCACGGGGTGCATGAACCCCAGGTGTTGGATTCTGCACGGCAGCAATGGCTTATTTGGGTGATCCCTGCCGGCTGGGGAAGGGGGACACATGGAGGGTGTGGCAGACACGTGGCTCCAGGCCCTGGGATGGCGACAGATGAGCTGGCTCTCACTTTGGAGAGGAAATTCACCCTTCAATTATGGCGCTTTCCCCCAGACATCAACCTAAATGCAGAGTGCGGCCAAAGCTTCCATTTTAAGACCATAATTGGCAAGTTTGGTCCTGAAAGCCCATCATAACTCTTCTCTGAAATTGCAGTGTACTCACCATCTAAAAACATGCCACTCAGTTTGATCGTGTTGCAAAAATGCCACTTGTACTGACCATGAAAATAGCAACATGTGCAGCATGCTTAAGAAAATGAAAGCCCAGGGTCTCTGGCAGGGAAGCCAGGTCCCATGTTCAGAAGGACACAGCTCCTGATTCTGAGATGGCCCTGCAGCTCCAGGAGGAGAATGGAGGTCCCCCTCCCTCTTGTGGAGTCCATGTGAAATCTGGTTGCATTATCATCTCTGGATAAACTTTTTTCCTCTCTTTTTTCTTTTTTCGTTAAAAAACAAAAGGGTAGTGGGGGCTGGCCCGGTGGCGCAGCGGTTAAGTGTGTGCACTCTGCTTCGGTGGCCCGGGGTTCGCTGGTTCAGATCCCGGGCGCGCACCGATGCACCGCTTGTCAAGCCATACTGTGACGGTGTCACATATAAAGTAGAGGAAGATGGGCACGGATGTTAGCCCAGGGCCAATCTTCCTCTGCAAAAAGGGGAGGATTGGCGTTGGATGTTAGCTCAGGGCTGATCTTCCTCACACACACACAAAAAAGGGTAGTGATGCTAGATTGTTATGCTACTTTATTTACCATTCTAATATTAGTGAACCTCCCAGTGCTCTGGGTGTCAAAGACAGGTTTGGGATAAAAAGGACAGGCTTCCCCATAGAGCTGAGAGCATGGTGCTATTGAAGACAGTGACCTTTTCACACCTGGGGATAATTTTCCGGAAAGGATGCTCAGCTATGTAGAAAGCTCAGAGGGGATGGAAGGAGCGTTGGCTTAGAGCCAAGAGGCCTAGGTCTCTCTCTGGCTCAGTCACTGTCCCCCTCTGTGTTCTTGGAAAGTCATGTAACCCCGCCCAACTTCCGACTCCTCATTTGTGAAGGAGGTGTCAGAGCCCCTCGTCCGGGGCGCTGCAGGGATCAAATGTGGGGATGTTTTATAGACGAGGAAACTGAGGCGATGGAGGAACACCCGCAAAGGGCTTAGCTGATAAGTGATGGTGCTTTGTAAACTGTAAAGTGCGACACCTAAGATTGCCCTAGTGTTCTGCCAGCACAAAGTAAATACTCACAAATATTTATTATATGGACAAACTACTGTGGTCTTATGAAAAAAAAAATGTCAGAGTTAAGTGAAAAAAAGACAAAAGTCAAAAAGCAAAAATAAGTAAATAGAAAGATCTTTGCCATTAACTATCAATGATGCACCCACTGCACAGCTCTCTGGAGTGTTCTAGAATCAGCACTACCAAATGATCACAGAGGCCTATGGTGGGAGGCAGCATTTTGCCCTCTGGAGGGCTATTTGTGGACGGAATAAAGCACCCATCGACCTAGACCCTCAGTCGTTCCTCTTAGTGGAAGCTAGAGCCCCCTGCTGTGGGTCACCTCTGTCTCACAGGGACGCAGGGGCTCTGGCAGATCTCCTCACCTCTGCCAAGCATCTCCTTGGCATCTACGCCCGGAGGCCCTTCCCTCTTGCTGTGACAGGACGTCCTGTGTACAGGACGGTAGAGCAACGGAAGGACACAGGCTCTGTGGATGCAGTGACCTAGTTTCAGTCTTGTTCTGTCTTATGAACCATGTGCTCCTGGGCAAGCCATTTCACCCTCTCCATGCCTCATTGTCTTCATCTTTAAAATAGGACATCTTATCTGAGGTTCCAGGAAACAGACGCTGCGGTGGAGATGCGCATGCACGAAGTTTAGGGCACAGCGCTCTCGGGAGCGAGCCCTGTAAGGAAGCGAGGGGCAGGATTAGGCAGGGAGAGGGTAGAACTTCCATGCAAAGTGAACGAGGGCCCCTTCAGAGCCCATTTGGAGGCAAGGGTGCCGGGCCTTTGTGGATCCACGTGGACAGGTTTTTGGACCAAGACTGACCTTGGAGAGGGGAGGCAGATCGCCTAGGCTGAAGGCAATTCCAGGAGAGGGACTCAGCTGGGAGCGCCAGCCACCAACTTCCCCACAGTTGGGGAAGGGAGAGCCTCGGTCCTGAAGGCGGCCTGGGCAGCACACCACGGTGCCCTCTGTGGAAAGCAAGGGTCCTTTCTCACTCCGCAGGCTGGGGGAGGATTAAATGATGGCGTGTCTGTGAAGACCTACACACAGGACCACATAACACATGCTGATAGGCCTGTTATTGTCATTGTCACCCAGCATTATTCTAATTAATGCATTACGGCCACTGCATCACGATGTTCGCCCTGTCTTTCTGACTTCTCTCCCGTCATACTGTGAGCTGCTTAATAGAAACACCCAGGCTTTGTCTGTTTGTTTTGTTTTTTACCTTTGTATCCCTAGACTTGAGCACAGAGCTTGGCTCATCAAAAACTCTTAAAAAATCGCTGTAGAATGGACAGTTGGATAAAGGAAGGGGTCACCCGAGAATGGAGACCACAAGGAGGGGGCTCTGGGCTGCCCTTTGGGGGCATCGGGTGGCACTCCACTCTCTTCCTCATGCCCCAGGTTACTGTCCCCTGCTTTCTCTCCTAGTCGCTCTGGATGCGTGGCAGTCCCTGGCCCTCTCTTCAGTAGTTGTCGATCCGTCCATCAGGAACTTCGATGTTGCCCACATCAGCACTACTGCTACCAGGAACTTCTCTGCTGCCCGAGACCTCTGCTTGTTGGGTAAGGGGAGTTGCCACCCCCTGGATAGGGGGGTCTTATTGAGATGAGGACTCTCTCACACCAGCGCTGCTCAAGATTCTGACCTCAGAGACACACAGGAGACCCCAAGATAACCTGAGGTGCCTGGCAGGAAGGAGTCAACCTGGGGGAGAAGACCTCGGCTGGGCTCTCCTCTGCAGTCTGCTCGTCCTCCTGCAGGGCCAGCGCATGGCCAAGGTCTCCCAGGGGATAAGCCAGCCAGAAACTGAGCGACATTGGACCAGGTCAGAGGAAGATCAGAGGAAGGATCTAGGGGGTTAGTCTGAGGCAGAGGAGATGTGTGGAAGCTGTGACAGCTGTCCTTAGGTTACAGATGGGCCATCAAGACGAGGAGGAAGTATTCTTGTTCTGGCCAGGCTCATGGGGCAAACCTAAGTCCTAGGGGTAAAACTCAAATTTCAAGACACATTTTTCAGTGCAACATGAGGAACTTTCTAATAGGCAAAGCTGTTCACAGATGCATACTTCCTTTAGAGAGTTTCGGTCACTGGTAGTTAAACAAAAGCTAGGTGACCACATGATAAGAATGTTCTACAAAGACTTTAACTTCTGAAAGAGGCTGAGGTTACATAACATTTACACTTTTCCAATTCTGAAAATCCATGAATCTCCTCCTCCACAAGTTTGGATAACAATATGCACATCTTACGGACAGGGCCGTCATGTACAGATGTACAGGTTGTGCACTGCACAACTCTGGGTGGTGCCATAGCATAGAAACTGGGCTATGAATAAGGCCTTTAGGCAGTGCACAGCTTGCTCAATCAAATGAAGCAGCACTATTTTCAGAGCTGTTATCAGGACTGAATATGCTGAATGCCATGAATAATTTAAATTGTCTAGTGCAGGACCTGGCACACATGGGAAAGAATATAACACCTGATGGAATATGGTGGGTATGGTGGAAAAGGGGGTCAGAGGGAGATGAGGCTGAAGGGGAAGGCAAGGGCTCGAGCATGGGGAGCTTTGTCTGGTATAACTTCATCCTGAGGCCAGTGGGGAGCCATGGAGATGCTTTAAACAGGGCAATGACAAGAGCACATTTGTGAATAAATAAACAACCAAAAACCTGACTGTTGTAGGGAAAATAGATTGATATAGGAGGCTTGGGTCCCTCACCACCACCATTTTATTCCCAGCCCCTGGCATAGTGCCTGGGATGTATAGTAAGTGGTCAAATGAATAAGTGGTGAAGGCATGGATGGATGGATGGATGGATGGATGCATGCATGAATGCGTGCATGCATGGATGGATGAATGCATGGGTGCGTAATTGGATGGATGGATGGATAAATGATGCACGGGTTTATTTGTAGATTCATGATACATGATTTGATGGAAGGATAACTGTCTGGCTTATCCCTTGGAGACCTTGACTATGGGTTGACCCTGAAGGAGGATGAAGAGACTGTAGAGGAGAGTCCACCCAGGGTCTTCTCCCCCAGGTTAATTCCTTCCTGGCAGGTACCCCAGGTTATCTTGGGATGGATGGATGGGTGGGTGGCTGGATGATACATAGATTCATGGATTTATAATTGAATGGATAGATGGATGCATGATGCATGGATTCATGGATGCATGATTGGATGCATGGATGGATGCATGACTGAGGTGACATCTCTGATGCCCAAGCCTCACTCTTCTCCCTCTACTCCACAGAGTGTTCCCGTCACCAGGCCTGCCTTGTCACCACTCTGCAGACCCGACCTGGTGCTGTGAGGTGTGTGTTCTATGCTGATACCCAGAGCTGCACACACAGCCTGCAGTCCCAGAACTGCCAACTTCTGCTCCGTGAAGAGGCCACCTACATCTACCGGAAGCCCAGTGAGTGCAGGCCTGTGTCTTTGCAGCCATTCCCAGGAGCCTGAGTATGGCTGGGAGGGACTGTCCGGGCATGGGTGACTCGTGCGCAGTGGTTTTTGAGGTTCTTAAGAGAAAGTCGGCCAAAGTTATCCTGGGCTAGGTGGGACTCATCTGGCATGGACTGAAGGAAGGTGGAAAACCCTACTTCTAACCTAGAACTTCTCTGTACTGCCTTTATTCATTTATTTCTTTGAATTTATTTCTTTGAATCATTTTAGCCTTGGAGTTTTTTAGTAAAATAGTTAAATCAGCCACTTTTTACTACTGTTTTGTAGTTCAGAAGGTTGTTTCTCTTGCCTTAGCTCATTTGATCCTCACGCTATCCTGTGAGGTGGCAACATAAGGGTTTTATCTCTGACTTAGAGATCAGGAGACTCTGGCCCAGAGAGGTTAAGTTAATTCTCTGATTTCACACAGCTAGTGAAGACAGAACACAGGAAACTCGAGCAAGGTCTCCTATCTCTAGATGCAATCCTCTCCCACAAAACCATGTTGCCTGACTACCACGTCACAATCACTCCAGAGAGGGCAGCTGTTCCCGGCTCAGTTTCGTTTAAAAACGTCCAGTAAGGTGCTGTCATGTGTCAGACATTGGGTTAGGTGCTGGGGACGCAGGGATGAAGCAGACCAGGGCAGAGCACCATGTGAATCCACCACTGAGGGGAGAAGTAAGGGCTGTGGCACAGCAAACATGGGAGCTGGGGGTCTGGGGGATGCACCCCCTCCCTAGACACGCTCACTGGAGGAAATTAATAACTTTTTAAAAACGTGGGCCATTCCTCCCATCTTGTCTTCTAGAGCAGAGGCCAGCAAACTTTCTCTGTAAAAGGCTAGATAATAAATATTTTTAGCTCTGTAGCCACATGTCTCTGTTATAAGTGCTCAGCTCTGCCTTTGCAGCAGGAAAGCAGACACAGACTGTTGGCAAATCACTGGGCGTGGCTGTGTGCTAATAAAACTTTATTTACAAAGTCACAGAACAGCAAGATTTGGCCCCGCCCCAACCTAGGGTGTTGATGGTCCTTCAGGCCTGTCTTGATCAGGCTGTATCCTCCTCCCTGCGCCCTCCTCAACCTCGGCTTTCAGGCCATAAGAATGCCCCCAGGCCTGGGAGTATTGTGATTCTTCTATGCGGAGAGCTTGGGCCTTGGATCTCAAGTCTTGTCTTCTATCTGGACATTTACATTATTTAGTCGAGTCAGAGAGATTGCAATAGTATGTTTCACCCATAGTGTGTCTAATCTGTGTGGTAGTCCTGCTGAAGTTGGAGGGCTGAGTTCTGTAAAACAAATTAGACCGCTCGTCTATCCATTCCGTGTAACCCAAGTTCAATGTGAAATGCTCCCCTCGGGCAGAAGATGCATGCCCGTATGTATCTACATAGGCATTGTTGGTTTGCCCCTAATGTACATATAGAGCTACAGATAGTTTTCTTAACCCAGGGAGTCACATGGCCTAAATATGTGAGTATTCTGGAAAGAATCCACCATTTCTGCAAAAGATTTGAAAAGGGAGAGCTGCACATCTAACATTTTCCCCATGTTGGATCTAGCTTAGTCTGGGATTCACTGGGCGGCCTCAGGAGGGAGGGTGGAACGCCGCTGTCCGTGGGAAAGCACGCTCGCATTCCCTCGAAATTCTTGAGCTCTCAGATTTTCTGTCTCTGCTCCCCGCTTTGGATGATGCCATGTTCAAGAAATGTGGCTGTTTCCTGCAGAGCAAAAAACCGACCTCAGAAGTTTCTGCTACGTTAGTGCCCACAGCCCTCAGTGTCTGCCCTAGACCCTGTGATTTGCAATTGAACAGGAAATCTTGTGAGAAGGGACTGGGGGGTGAGAGTGTCATGATTTGCGATGGAGGCCAGATTACAAAGCAGCAGCCAGTTCTTTCCATCCTGAGTTTCCATTTTGATTCTAACTCACACTCCAGTGTTTGTGCAGCAGAGAAGGTTTCAGTCACTGCTTTCTTTATTTTCTTTTCTTTTTTCTTTCCTTTTCTTTTCTTTCTTTCTTTTTCCTTTCCTTTCCTTTCCTTTCCTTTGTCCCTCTCTTTCTTTCTTTCTTTTTCCTTTCCTTTCCTTTGTCCCTCTCTTTCTCTCTCTTTCTTTCTCTCTTTCTTTCTCTCTCTCTTTCTTTCTTTCTTTCTTTCTTTTTCTCTCTCTCTCCCTCCCTCCTTCCCTCCCTCCCTCCCTTCCTTCCTTCTTTCCTTTCCTTTCCCCCCTCCCTCCTTCCTTCTTTCCTTCTTTCTTTCTTTCTTTCCTTCCTTCTGTCCCTCCTTCCCTCTTTCCCTTCTCTTCTTCCCTCCCATTCATTCATATGTTGAGCTCCTACCATTTGCCAGCCCCTGGGCTCCGAACATTACAGCATCACATTATTTATTCTTGACACCTTTGTGTTGTAGGGACTGCTGTTATTCCTGTTTCGCAGGTGGGAAACTTAAAGGTCAGAAGAATTATGAAGTTTTCCCAAAGTAGCTGGTCCACATCATGAAACACAGGTGTCCTTGACTCCCCGGGCCGTCCGTTGGTTCCTCCTCACCACGCTGACCCTCGGTGGTTGTGAACACACGTGGGAGTCATGAACACACGTCATATCAGGGTTTCTCAACCCCGGCACCATTGACATTTGGGCCTGGATAATTCTTTGCTGTGGGGAGCTGTCCTATCTGTTGTAGGATGTTTAGCAGCATCCCTGACGCCTACCCTACTAGATGCCAAAAGCTAGCATCTCTCTCCAATGCCTGTGCCAACCAAAAATGTCTCCAGACATTGTCAAATGTCCCCTGGGAGCAAAATCACCTCCAGTTAAACTATTGCTTATATCAAGCTCTTGAGGGATGGATAGACTTCTGCCTGCCTGTCTGTCTGCCTCCTCTCCAGTGTGCCTGTTTAGTCATTGCATATCTATGTGTGTTAGATAGAAAGGGCTGCAGAGGAGGCAGCCATGCTTTCTCTCTCAAGCAGCCGACAGCGGAGCCGAGCAAACCAAACACACCTGTTGGAAATAATAAGAGACTTTGCACACACACACACACACACACACACACACATTGAGAGACAGAGAGTATCTCTTCACCAGCATTTGTTTCCCTTGTGCAAGGCCCTAAGTCCTGTGGGGAATCAGACACACAGGCCTGTCTCAAGTCCCTGACGTTGGTATTTGGCACTGAGCCGGCGCCCAACAAAAGTTTATTGAATCAATGAGTGAACAAAAGAAAACGTAGTAGAGGAGATAAGACAGGGCTACAGAGGCCGAGAGTGTCTGCTGATTAGTGTTACAAGGAGGCGGATGGAAGGCCCTTCAGAGCCCAGGGCAGTGATGGCAGGCGGCAGCAGCCTAGACCTTACAGACCAGGTGGGATTCGGACACGATCAAGGGGAGGGCGGGTATTGCAGGCGTGGGCAGAGGCCCGGAGAGGGGCCCCAACCTGACCCTTGACCCCGTGTGGATAGGATGTGGTCAGAGTTGGGGTTCAGAGAGGTGTGGCTTTGAACCCTACATCACCTTGAAGTCCTGGCAGCCGCCCACTCTTGGTCCCCAAAACTATTTCCTCACCAGTGAACTGAAATATGGGCCCACAGTTCCTTAGCTGCAATTCTGAAATCCAAAAATCCTAAAAGTCAGAAAAATAACATTTTTTTTTTTTTTGTAAGTTTGCATCAGACTCATTTGGTGGCAAAATCTGATCTGAAGTGATGGAAGAAATTATATTCTTTATTCATTTCTCTTAGTTTGAGTAATCCATCCTTTTCATCACAGAAATAATGGGTGTGTTTGGTGATGGGGCTCTACTCTAGACTTCCCAGGGAGAGCTGAACATTGCACGTTCTGTGTCCCTCTGTTCTTTTAAAAGTCCCATTAATTCTGAATTGCAGCTCGCGCCTGGCCACAGGGTGCTGAGTGAGGGGCTGTGGGCTGGGATCAGTCTCTACGGGAAGGGTTGATAACACACGTAGAGAAGGCGTTGGTGCTGCCCTCTGAGCAGATTCAGTGCTGGTAAAGATCAGCTGTCTTTGCTTTCTTTTTTCCCACCTTGAACTCTAACTTGACTAGATTTAAGCTATTGGGGTCTGAATGAATCTTCAACAATTTTTAAGTGCAAAAAGCAGTGTTTTGTTTGAATAGAGCACCCACTGTTCCCTCTGCCTCTCCTCCCCCACACTCCCCTCCCCACAGACCTCCCTCTGCCTGGCTTTGGGACATCTGCACCTTCTGTGACCATCGCCACCCACGGCCAGCTGCTGGGCAGGTCCCTGGCCATCCAGGTGGGCACCTCGTGGAAGCAAGTGGACCAGTTCCTGGGAGTTCCCTATGCGTCCCCGCCCTTGGCAGAGAGCCGCTTCCGAGCACCAGAGCCCTCGAACTGGATGGGGTCCTGGGATGCCAGCAAGCCACGGTAAGGGCTGAGCGGGGTACACTTGGGTAAACGCCCGGAGCATCCTCTCCTGTCCTAATCCTCAAAGTGGGGCAGAGCAGTGCATTCTAGTGTGAGTGGAGCATGGGGCGGGGGTGTATTAGTTGAAGTGGCATTACGGGCTCTCACAGATAAACATCCCGAATATCAGTGACTTAACCTTACTTTGCTCCTGTAAAGTCCATTTGGTGATGGAGGGGCTGGTGTGCTCTGCTGCATGCAGTGATTCGGGGACCCAGGCTGATGGAGGCCCTGCCTTCTTCAGCACGAACCTTCCTTGACATTGCATTTAGATAAGAGGCTGTGGAAGAGTCTGCAGGGGACATTTCTATGGGCCACGCCAGCATGGGGCACATCTGCCACTGCCACCAGGATCTGTCCCAGTGTCTGGAACTCAGCCTCCTGGCCACGTCTGACTTCAGTGGGGCTGAGAAATACAACAGAGAGGGACAAGTACATGAGCTGATGAAAAAGCTTTAGAAGCACTTTTTTTTCCCAAGTAGGGACAATATTAAAAGGAGTTTACAAAATAAAAAAAAAGCATCGATATCTTATCTTCTTCCTTCATCAAGTATTTTCGATTTCCCCCATTCCTCCCATGCATACACCACTTTAAATAGGTGACACACTGGAGGAGATTTTGTAATTTTCCTAACTAAAGCTTGTTCAGAGTACCCCTGGAAAGAGCACCCATCTTCTCTCTCCTTCTCCCCATCTGCGTTTGCCCTTCCAACAGGCTTCTTTTATGGCTCTGTCCTGAGTCATCTGCATCTTCCCTGTCCCTTGCCACCCACGACAGGCTGCCAGGCAGGTCCACAGGCCCAAGCCAGAAAGAGAGATGAACTGGGATGCTCTTGAATACTTCAGGCCCGGGAAGGTGAAGGCTAAAGTAGGCCAGTGGTAGTACGAATGCAGAAAGCTACGGATAAGTCTCCACCACTGAGAAACAAAGGAATAAACGTGCACTAACTAGAGCGCTTTGCCACGTTAGGATGTACCCATTTGACAGATGAGGGGGTTGAGTCACAGAGGCTTTTGAGTGGAGGGTAGTTGGAGGGCTTAGTTCATCAGAGCCCAGTGCTAATGAGGCTTGGGCGCTGAGTGGAGTCACTGTTTGGGTGGAGCACCATCATCCTCCATTAGGCGTGTCCCAGGCGTGGTCTCAGCTCTTAGGCCAGGAGAGGTTCACAGTGGCACACACGGACTCTGCACTGATGTAGAGAGCAGGTCGGACACCTCATCCGGCAACAGGTCTGCACACTTGGAGCAAAGAAGGGCCAAGGTCCTGAGTGGCATCCATTTTCCCTTTTCTATCTTGGGCACCCTTCTCTTTGGGTTGGCACCTTGTCCCTGGGGGATGTTCCTCCACAGGCCTGTGGCAGGTAGGGTGGTGGGCACCCTGCTGTTCCTTCCACTCACTTGCCACTCCCATCTCCCATTTCCTGAAGCTGCCTAGTTGCCGCAGAGCTGGTGGGACCCCAGGCCTCAGGAAGGGGGCAGTGGGCTCCGGCTACCAGTGGTGGGTGGGAAGGGGACATGTGCGTGTCCCCTTGGTTGTTTCCCCTGGAAGTCATACAGTCTGTATCTGCAGGGCCAGCTGCTGGCAGCCGGGCACCAGAACGCCCACGTCTCCCGGAGTCAATGAAGACTGCTTGTACCTCAACGTGTTTGTCCCTCAGAACGTGGTGAGCTCTGAAGCCCTCGCTGTGTTTGCCCCAAAAACCGCCTCCTAAGCAACCCTCTCTCCCCATGGCTGCCAGCAGTGTTCACTCATCTCCTCCGTGGTCCGTGTAGACTATGCTCCTCAGCACCATCCTGGCTGGTTCTCGGCTTCGTGAAGGCCTGAACTGCTGAGAGCAAGCAGAGGGGGCTCCTGGTCCGTCCATGGTCTCATGTGATCCTCCCCACATCCCCGCACCCCATCCATGCAGGGGGACGGTGCATGGTTATCCCCATCCACTTCTCTAAGAAATATTCATAATAGCCTGTGACAGGCCAGGACTCTTCCAGATGGGACACAGCTATGAACAAAACAAAGCCACTGCCTTCCTGGGATGGGGGGATTACACTTTGGTGAAGGGGCAGCAATAAACAGACAAGCAAATAAATATTGAACAACAAGCAAATAAATATTGAAGAAAAATACAGGGAGGAGGAAATACAAAGGGGCAGGAGGCAGTCAGGAGGTCCCGTTGGAGAGGGGCGTGGAGGAGGGAGGGTGTGAGCCACGCGGGTAGGTGAGGGAGCAGTGCAGGGTGGGGGCCCCTAGAGGCCAGAGGCTGGGGAAGTGAGGAGCCCAGATTCAAATTAGTCTGCAAATGAGGAAATGAGATCTCTCCTTGAGAAGACCCTGGGAGAGACCCCTCAGGAGCATTTCTTTGGAGCTTTCCAAGTGGCCTCTTATTTGAGTTAGGTTATGCCCATAACTCTGGTTATGCCCCATTTTGAAGCCTATATCTGTCTAAATAGTGGCTACAATCCTCATGTTGAATGTTTGAGTTTCCTGTTTTGGAGCAAGGGTCAGTGTGCATGAGAGTAAAAGGAACTAATGAGCTTTAGGAAACATGAGTTTCTGGTGAGGCCAACCCAGTGTTGACAGATCCCATGGTACATGTGACTGTGCCACCACTTCCTGGTCCCCTAGCCTGCTAGCAGCAAGAGTCAACTGTACTTTGGAGGTTTGATCACAGCTTAGCTGATCTGAGTGAGCTTTGTAATGAGGCCACCAAAAACGTGAGAGCTTTCATAGGCTGCATTAATAGAAGTATGGAGCCTGGAGTGAGGGAGGTGACAGAGTTCCATTCTGCCCAATGCTAGTCATACCATACTTGCAGATGCCAAATTAAGTTCTGGCTCCAAACCAGCCTGCTACTTACTACTACCTCACTGGCCTAGAGAAAGTTACTCAAGTTCGATGTGCCCCAGTTACCTCGACTGAAAGTGGAGAGAGAAATAGCATCTGCCTCATAAAGTTCTGGTGAAATTAAAAAAAACAATGCATATGTCCCAATTAATCAATGGATTCCTGCCACATACTAATTAATCAATGAGTGATTGATTAATTGATTAATCAAGGCTAATAGGAGACACATTGGAAATGGCAGTGAGTGGAACGGAGATCACGCCTAAAGGAATGAGGGTCATTCAGCCTGGAAGAGAAGAGCACTCTGTGGGCGGTGTAAGAGCCACTGACGATGTTGAACAGGTTGGGAGGAGGAGGGGGAAGGGGCAGGATGACCCTCCCTGGAGGCCTGTGCCCATCATCAGCTGGATGCCTCATGGCACACGGCCTATTGATCCTCCCAATGCCTCTCAGAGGTGTTATTCCCATCTTACAGATGAAAAGCCCAAGGCTCAGAGAGGTTAGGTGACTTACCTAAAGTCACTAAGTTAGTGAGTGGTTACTGCAGACTTGGTCATTTGGGCCCCAGAGTTCATAGCTGCGGCCAGTGGGTGGTGACCCACAAGCATATACCTTTGCTGTAGTGTGACAGTACTTTAGGGTTTACAGAGAGCATTTATATCTATGATGTCATTGGTCTTCACATCATCTCCTGCAGGAAGATATATATCCACATTTCAACATATATATTCTCCCTCCCCAATTTAAAGGTGCAGAAATGAGGCTAAGAGAGGATAAGTGCCTTACCTAAGAACACATAGCTGGGCTGAGTGGAGGCTTGATCCTCGTCTCCTGACTCTAAATCCAGTGCTCCGTCCCCCTAGGGAAGTTCCCAGTCGAGGAGAGCTGTGCCATTTCTGTCTTGGGCAGCTCCATCGTCCCGTCCTGGCCTCGGGGGAGGAGTGTTGATGCCACAGCCTGGGACGCCACAGCAGTGTATGGGCCCCACAGGGACAGACCCTGCAGAGGAGGGGCCAGACTCTTGGATCCTCCCTTCTGGCTGGTGGGGTTGAGAGGCCGAGAGCTGACCCTCAGGACCCCCACGCCCTGCCCTTGCTTCACCGACACTTGCTGGCAACAAGGCAAACAGCCTTCTCTCTTGCAGGCATGCTACCCAATAAAAATAACCCCAAGCGCTGTTGGGGGGGGATACATGGCCTGTCCTGACCTATCCGATAGCCAATGACAAATGAAGCTAAGGCCGCCTGAGCTGTTCTGTGGTGTTTAGAAAGGGCTCATATTTGAAGAATCAACAAGGGGTGACCCCTGAGAGATGGAATGTCACAGGTGGAACAAGCCAGGAGAGTGTGCTGGTAGGGGAGGCCGGGTCGGAATTTGGGGTCGGCCCCTTCCTCCCTGTGGGTGTTCTGAGAAGTTACTTCACCGCTCTGAGCCTCTGTTTTCACACCTGGAGAATGGGCGTGCTTGCCGTCATAGTGGCATCCACCATGTGGGGCGGGGGCTCTAAGAGGACGCTCTAGGGGAACTCACTTAGCGCAGCACCCATCAGGCAGGTCCTCAGTCAGTGTTTGTGGTCGGTGAGGAGGGCGTCTGTGTGTCGGAGCCTAGGGTCCATGGAGTGGAGAAGTCACAGGGCAGAGAGTCAGACCTGAATGAGGAAGAGCCGCCTGGGCCTTGCGTGCGACCCTGGCCTGGAGTGGGGTGTCCGATCCCCGAGGCGGAAAGTAATATTCTAATATGAAAGGGTCAGCCAGGGCTCAAATCCCAGCTCCGCTACCTCCTCGCTGCGCGATCTCAGACAAGCCACCTCTAGACCTCTGCTTCCTCATCTGTGAAATGGGAATGATAATAACGCGCCTCCATCCTGGGGCTGTTTGAGCACTGAGTCACATAGGTGAATACTTAGCCCAGAGCCTGGCTCTCGGTCAGTGCTTAGTCACAGGTAGCTCTGTGCTACCAAGACGGGATGTCAGTCACAGTGGCCAACTGAAGGACGCACCGAGAAGGACCCAGAAAGCTCTTCCGGAATAATCTGGGAGCCAGAACTGGGGTGTTGGAAGACTGCACGGCTCTATGCGATGGGCTCCAGGTCTGCAGTGGGCTCCAGTCCTGCCACGGTTTCACTTTGTAATGAGGGCAGAGCGGCTCCACTTTTCGTGACCCTCAGTTTCCTTATCCGTGAAATGGGGTTTATCAATCTGCTGAACTGCTCTACCAAAGTACCACAGGCTGGGAGGCCTAAACCAGAGAAATTCATCTTCTCATGATTCTGAAGGCCAGGAGTCCAAGATCAAGATGCTGGCAGGGCTGGTTCCTTCTGAGGCCCCTCTCCTTGGCTTGCATGTGGTCATCTCCTCCTCCCTGAGTCCTCACATGGTCTTCCCTCTGGGTGTGTGTCTGTGTCCTAATCTCCTCTTCTTATAAGGACACCAGTCATATTGGATAAGGGCCCACTAGCTTAATTACCTCTTTATAGGACCCAGCTCCAAATATAGGCACATTCTTAGGTCTAGGTGTTAGGTCTTTAACATGTGAATTTTGGGGGACGCACTTCAGCCCATAACATGGGACTGAGCATGCCCACAGGGCAGAGTTGATGGGAAGAGTCAGGTGCAGGCTCAGAATCAGGCTCCCACATGGCAAACGTGTCCTCACCAAGCTCTGATAGGTGAAAATGGGCTGACCAGTAGCCCCCACGTTTCTCCAATCCCCGCAGGCCCCTAATGCATCCGTGCTGGTGTTCTTCCACAACACCGTGGAGGGCAGGGGGAGTGAAGGACGGCTGGCCATCGACGGCTCCTTCCTGGCTGCTGTTGGCAACCTCATTGTGGTCACTGCCGGCTACCGAGTGGGCATCTTCGGCTTCCTGAGTTCCGGTGAGTTGCTGGCGTCAGTGGGACTGCTGACTCCTGAGGCTGAGGAGCCTGCTCTGTGCGTGGACAGCCCCTTCTTCCTGAAGTCCCATCCCCTCATGACCCCTGACCCTCCTCCAGCCCAGCTGAGCCCTCAGTGGAACATCCAGCTCACTCCTGAGACCCTGCAGTGACGCTGACCCCCATAGATGTGAGCCGTAGTTGCCACTGACTGAATTTACTATGTGTCTGAAGCTGTCCCAAGTGCGTGACATGTTTTATCTTGTGATATATGTGTTTGTGTGTATACTGAGGCCCAGAAGGTTAGACACTTGCTCAAGATCACGTGCTCAGGAAAGAGCAGGGCAGGATTCCCCACCAGGGCTGACTGGCCCTGGAGAACTCTGAGGAGTGGATTATACCCTGGACCCACAGGGAAGCCATCTGACTCGGAGTGAGGGCTGAGTCAGTAATGAGCTTACTGCTTCCGTTTAATTCCAGCCTGGCTTGTGAGTGTTGACCTGTCCCCTATCCAGTGACACACCCATTTGTCACCCTAGTTATGCCCTCCCCCACAACCCCCAGGGCAGAATTGAGGCTTGGACCAGTGCCCGCGTCCTTCATCCACATCTTCTCCTCCGTCTCCGCCCCCACCAGTGGTAGGGAAGTTGTCAAGCGGCCGTGACCAAGGGCAGACACGCTGGTCTGGGAATCTGAAGAGCCATTCATTGTCTGTGTGACCTCGCACAAGACCCTTCCTTTCTCTGAGTCTCAGCTTTCTCCTCTGTAAAATGGGAATAATTTTACCCAACGGCCAGAGTTACTGTGAGGCTCAAATGAGGTCCTGCATGTGAAAGCCCTTTCGAGACTGTGATGGGCTTTTCGAGTCCTCAGGGATAGGCACTAGCTTCATCTCTGTTCTCCAAGGCTCTCATTTAAGACCTGGAATGTCCTTCCTGCTAAGTGCGTGTGGGCTGGTGGAAGGCAGCGTGGCCGGAATGATGGACTCAACTAGAGTGTGGGTGAGTGGGGTGGGCATCCAGCATGAGCAGAAACCCAGCAGTGCAGGGAGCGAGGGCTGATGGAGCACCTGGCACAGGCCTTGAGCACCGTGAAGATTCTAGGCCTGCACAATAAAAGTGAAAGTGTCAACAAATTAAGGCGACAGGCAGCCAGATGCCGACGTGGGAAATGTACGTGAAGAACAGATTTCAGATTTTCCTTCAGGGGGAGCCAGGTCAGCTGCTGGAGCAGTGACAACTCTTTGCCTGAGTTTTCTTTCCTCTTTTCAAACACATGACCGACGGCGATTTGTTAAGTCGGTAGCTCCTTTCTCTAAAGAGGCGGGTGAAATTCCGAGCTCTCCTGCTGAACCGTGGTCCGGTGGAGCTTTTCACAGACATGGCTGACTTCTTGGCTTAGAGCATTTCCAGACAGAAGAGAGTGAGTTTCCATACGTCGTCCATCCCTGAGGGGTCGGGGGAGTGTGATTTCATGGGCTGTTATCTTATTGAGAATTTGTGTGCTTCTGGGAAGGCAGACTCATTTCTGCTGCTGGCGGGGGCAGCGTGAGGGGGAGGCGAAGGAAACTTCCAGAACACTCAACCCTTCTCGTTCCTGACATGCAAGGCTGCCTCTTCATTGTGCTTAAAGCAAAACCATCAGCCAGAGAGAAGGAAGCTTAGACTCACCGAGCGCCTCCCTTACCAGACACTTCGCCTGGATTACCTCATGTCGTTCTCACGGCAGCTCTGTGGGACCAGCATCATGCATCCAGATGAAATGACAAGGCTCAGAGAGGTTGAGGCACTTTATGCCCCACAGTTATGGCGACATCCTGGGCGTTCAACCCTGGTGGTCAAACAGGAAAAAACATATTGTAGCTTGCTCCTTCAGACGTCTAGAAACGCCTTTTGGATTCTTCAGTCTTCTGTGTACAGAGCAGATTCGTCTTTACTGTCGTTTAGTCACAGGCAGGCTTCCTCTGCTTCAGTTATGAGATCTTCTAGCATTTCCCGCATTCCTAAGCTTTCCCATCTCTTGCGCTGCACCTCCCTGTGGCTCAGCGGGATGGGGAAGCATCAATCAGTCAAGAAACAGATGCAGAGAAAGTGGCGGGGGCGGGTGCAGAGGAGCAGTGGCACAATGATACCAACACAGGCCTCCTAACTACAGAGGGGCTGCCTGCTGCCTGCCACACATGTTAGATGACAAGCTCTACGGAGGGGCAGCCGCTGCACAGAGGACGCGAGAGCTCACAGCCTCGATGAACGCTTGGGAGGGAGAAAGGAGCAGGCATGGGATTCAGCTAACCCCCAATAACCTTATGATACAAGCGCACCATCCCCTTTCCCATTTAAAAAATACGTCTAATAAATTTTTCTATTTAGAGAGGTTTTAAGTTTACTGAAAAACTGAGCAGAAAGTACAGAGAGTCCCCACATACTCCTTCGTCCCCTGCCTCAGTTTCCCCTATCATTGGTGAGGCACAATGGTTACAAATGACGAGCCAACATTGATACGTTATTATTGACTGAAGCCCCTAGTTCACATCAGGGTTCACTGTGTTGTACGTGCTGTGGGTTTTGACAAGCGTGTAATAACGTGGGTCCACCATTACGGTATCACACGGAATAGTTTCACTGCCTTAAAACTTCCCTGTGCTTCACCTAGTCGTCCCCCCCCTTTTCCATTTTAAATGGTTGGAAACTGCAGTTCAGAACACAGGTCTGGAAAGAGCCGGGCTACTTCGAGTGCCAGCCTCAGCCTGGTGTCCTACACAGCGCACAGACTTGGCACCCGAGCAGAACAGGGTCCGAGAGCAGCTCCATGGCTCTGTGGGGCCCAGGGGCTCTGGACAGTTCGCTGGTATCCCGTCACAGGCTGCCCATCTTAGCATCAAATGATGCTGAGACCTACGGGGCAGATAATGGGATAAAGCATGAAAGGCAAGTGCCTGGAGCCCAGCCTGGCACCAGCAGGGGCTCACAGGGTTAATGCTGGACAGGCCTCTTCAAGTCAGGGCTGTGCTGCAGTTGTGTCCCAGACCTGCATCTGGTCAGTAACCACACAGAGCTGCCTCGAGATCGCAGCGGCAGCAGCAGCAGCCCTGGCATTTACTGAGTCAGGCCGCATAGCAGCCCTGTGGACATTGTCTCGTTTGACACATGCGTGCAGCATCTGCTGTCGTAGGCAAGAGTGAAAATGGTCCCCTGAGAGCTCCAGACTCCAGAGGCGCCTTTCAAAAGGGGTGGAAGAAGGATAAAAACAGAAGCTCGCGCCAGTCCTGCGGCCGACTAGACAAACTCGTGTCCTCTGCGAGAGAAGGCCAAACCCAACGGTATTTAAAGAGAGCCATGGTTCCTGAGGAACGGAGCAGTTGGAAAGGAAGTGAGGGAGTCAGTGGGCCTGGAGGCCACTGCCCCAGCCTGGACCCTGCAGGCGGGGCAGACCCTGGGGACACGGGGAACGGTGATGATCCTTTTCTCTCTGCAAAGCAATGTAGCCAGGGGGATCCAGGGGTGGTTGCATGCAGGGTCAGAGGAGGAGCGGGTGGGCCGCAGCCCGCAGACCCTCTGCAGGGCGAGGGAGCAGAGGAGGTGTGCTTTGGCCAGGGGGCAGACAGAAGGCCAGGCATGGTAACATCATCATTACTTCATCGTCCCTGGGGCACTCGGAGGCCTCCCGAGAGGGTCTGACACCCTCTCTAACCGGAAGAACAGGCACAGAGTCCTGACCCAGTGGGTGACCCATCACAGGTGCAATTTCTGCCACTGAAGACAGGGCACACCATGCAAAGGGCATCTGTGAGATAATGCTGGAACTAAGCCTGGGTTGTTTTATTTAAGAAAAACCAGACAATTTCTATAGTACTTTATGCCAGGCGCTGTTCTGTTCCCTTTACAAATATTAACTAATTCAATCATCATAGCAACCTAACAAGGTACGTGCTATTATCATCATCCCCATTTTACAGATGGGGAAAGTTGAGTCCTATTAAGTAACTCGTCTAGGGCCTCATACGGCTAGTAGGTGGTGGAGCTGGGACCTGGGCCCAGCTGGTCTGGCTCCATAACCTGTGTGCTAAGGCAACACACCATGCTGCCTTTTATTGATGGCATCAACAAGACTGGGGTGAGAACCCACTGTGAGCCCAGAATTGTGCTCAGGGGCTTTAGACGGATAGTTGAAGAAATCAAATGACCAAATGAGAGCCAATTAGACAGTGAGGGAGCCATCGAGTGTTTGCTGGGTGGTTCTGAGCACAGGACCAGGAGACTGGAGGTGGAGGGGCAGATCAGGGCAGGCTGGGGTAGTTGGATAGGAACCTTATCACATTGTCCAGAAATCTACTCACACCCGTCTCCCCACTGGACTAGATGCGCCTGGCCAGAGAGCAGCCCTCTCCAGTTTCATGCCCCTGCAGCTCTGCACAGCATGTATTTGCAGCAGAACCTGGCCCCGTGGACCTGAGTGGGGCCCTGAGGATGAGGAGAATTGGGGCTCAGCCACACGCAGACTGCGGGGGGAGTGAACGTGGACGTGATGAGTGGACCCTGATGGCTGGGCGGGATCGGTGTGGGACAGTGAAGGGAACCAGACTGCTTAGGGAGGCTGAGGTCCATCTTAGAGGATCTGAAAAGGCAGGAAGATGTTTAGACTTGATGCAGGAGGAATGAGGGAGTTATGAAGGCTTTCGAGCAGAGGAAATTCCATGAATAGAGCACTTAGAGTCTTTAATGAGAATAACACAGTGCCTTGCACATCATAGACTTTTCAACAAATGTTTGTTGAATGGGATTGAAGGTTACGACAGAGTTCCAAGTATGCATTGGGATTTAAGTCCCAACTTTATCTCAGATTTGCTTCTTGCTTCTAAACAAACTCTTTTCCTCTCAAGTCTCAGTTTCTTCACCAGTGAAAGAAAGGATTGGACTGGATTATCTCAGACCAGCTAGTTAGCTGCCTTCTGTGCGAGTTCCTGAGGCTGTGTGCCCCGAGGGCCAGGATCTCGTCTACCTTCCTCTTTGCCGTACCTAACACAGGGCATGGCATCAAGTGAAGTCCAATTCAGACTTCTCCGACGAGCGGCCTCTCGAAGACCCCCTCACTTCTGACCTCATAGCGGTCTGTAGACCCCAGAATGTCAGCATCGTAAGCAGGAAGCTGAAATATGGGGAGTGAGAGTCAGGGACATTCTCCCCGCCCCTCCCCACTGTCACTGGAAATGCAGGTGGTATATGTCACTTCCCAGACTTGCAAGCCTGGGTCCTGCTGATTGGTGCCCTGCTTTCCTGCGCTGCCTGAGACCTTGGAAACAAATGCATTCATCCTAACAAATGAAACATATGCACAATCCAGAAAGGTCCACGGGGAGGATCGTGCCAACGGCTTCACCAAACCCAGAACATGAAATCCTTTGAAGAAATTCTGAAAGTCTCCCCAGCTGGAAGGGTAATTTGAGTAATTTGTACTGTTCTGTCCCCTGAGCTGGTGTTCTTGCCAGCTTTGTGAATACCAGGTTGGGGAACTGAGATGCAAGATCTTTCTATTTTTCCATTTGAGATTTTGGCGTCTTGATAGTTTCTCGCTTGATACTGAATTCCACTAATCATAACTATGGTCATTCATTGACCTAACATTTATTAAGGACCTACTATGTGCCACTGGTTTTGGTGGGGCGCACAGTCTAGCAGGGAAGGCAATGGTGACGAATACCCTGAAAGGGGAAGCTTACCTCACCTGAGGGCTGCCTATGAATTGGTGGTGGAGCTAAGACTTGAGGGATGGCTGGGCCAGAGGAGGAAGATAGGGAAGGCCGAGGGAGGGAGAGGGAGGCCTCTGGGAAGAGGAATCACATGTGCCCAGCACGGGCCTGGGAGAAGGCGGCACTGGTTGTTTGAGCAACTGATGGAAAGCCTGGGTGTCTGTAGCACAGGTGCAGGGAGGAGACAAAGGGAGACACGGCCCGAGAAAGGGACAACCCAGTCCCGTGGGGCCTTGAATCCATTGGAAGAACTGAGATCGTGTCCTGGGGACAACGGGATGAGATGGGAGATTTTAGATAGGATGGGACAGTGTGTGTGTGTGTGTGTGTGTGTGTGTGTGTGTTGGGCTGTGTGCGTACGAGAAAGAGAAGGAATGATCAAAATTACATGTTTAAGGGGCTGGCCTGGTGGCCTAGTGCTGAAGTTCACGCACTCTGCTTCGGCGGACCGAGTTTTGCAGGTTCCAATCCTGGGCGCAGCCCTACACACCACTTATCAAGCTATGCTGTGGCAGGCATACCACATATAAAATGGAGGAAGATGGGCACGGATGTTAGCTCAGAGCCAATCTTCCTCAGCAAAAGGAGGAAGATTGACAACAGATGGTATCTCAGACTAGTCTTCCTCACCAAAAAAAAAAAAAAATTATAAGTTTAAAAGACCCCTCTGGATGTGGCATGGAGAATTCATTGGAGGGAGGAAGGTGAGGATATAGGAGGCCAATGAGAAGCACTGAGGAGAGATGGTGGCAGAGATCAGTGGAGAGAGAGAGCCCACAGCACCTGGGGAAGGAGCAGGGATGCAGCAGCAGGAGGTGTCCGGGGAGACTTGCAAGGTTGTGCAGGAGCAGAACGGGTGGTGGTGCTGCATTTGCAGAAGAAGATAAGAAACTCTGAAAATGACTGGCCGGCCTGGTGGTGCAAGCGGTTAAGTGCGCGTGCTCCGCTGCGGCAGCCTGGGGTTCGCCGGTTCAGATCCCGGGCGTGCACCGACCCACCGCTTGTCAGGCCATGCTGTGGCAGCGTCCCATATAAAGTGGAGGAAGATGGGCACGGATGTTAGCCCAGGGCCAGTCTTCCTCAGCAAAAACAGAAGAATTGGCAGATGTTAGCTCAAGGCTGATCTTCCTCACACACACAAAAAAAGATACTCTGGAAATGCTGCTGGCTGGGGTGCTCAGGAGACTTAGAGACAATTCCCCTTGGGACTGAATGAACTTGAGGTGCCTGTGAGGTAGCCTCCTGGAGCAATGTGGGGGCTCTGGAGCTGGGAGAGTGTCTGGGCCACTGGCGTACTCCCGAAAGCCATCAGCATGTAGGCGATGGTTGAAGCCATGGGATGGGCTGAGGTCTCCTAGCGCAGAGCCGGAGAGGAAGTGAGTGAGCCTCAGCCCACACCAGAGCAGGCCTGGTGCCCGGGGTGTAGATTGACAAGAGGGATCCACTGAATTCAGAGGATGACCAGAAGGTCATGGGCAGGTAGTGTCCCAAAATGCCAGGAAAAGGGCATGTTTTTGCAGAGTTTTGCATGTTTTGCAGTTTTTTTGTGTCTGAATCATTCCATTAAAAAAAGAAATAGTGCTGAGCTATCAATAAATATTCACTGAATTCTATGAAAAAAGGAAAGAGAGATCAACTCAGTTGAATATTATTGAAGGTCACGGAGGATGAGGCGGTGGGAAGGAAGGGGTTGGAGAGCCTCAGCCAGGCCTGGTCATTGTCGAGGAGGAAGAGGCGTGGAGAGCCACGGGCAGTGGGTGAAGATGTGGGGCAGGAAGTTCGTCTCCTCCCCACTCGTGTGCCAAGCCAGGTGGTGGTCTGAACACGCACTGCCTCTCATCTGAGCGGCTGCCTTTGTCTATGATGGGAAAGCTGTGGCCCATCCGGGTGGAGTGACACATCCAAGGTCTCCCAGCTAGCACACGCTGAAGGGAGAATCCACACCTGGATGGGTCTGATTCCAGAGCCCGTGCTCTTCCAACTGTCCCACACTGTATGTGGAACCACCATCCTGACCCGCGTGGACAGGAGTCCAGGTACCCCAGAGGAACCACATTCCTGGCTTAGACAGCGCTAGGATGATTAAATTCCATTTGCACAATCACAAAGGGTTAAAGGCTTTCCTCTCTCTGAAGGGTCCAGTGAGGTGAGTGGCAACTGGGGGCTGCTGGACCAGGTGACAGCTCTGACCTGGGTGCACACCCACATCCGAGTGTTTGGCGGGGACCCTCGGCGTGTGGCCCTGGCAGCAGACCGCAGCGGAGCTGACGTGGCCAGCATCCACCTTCTGACGACCAGGAGTGCCAACTCCAGACTCTTCCGGAGAGCCGTGCTGATGGTGAGCCGCCTGTTCTGCCTTCAGCCTGGCTGCGGATGCTGGCCAGGCGAGGCGGTCCTCTCTCGCCTTTTGAGACCCGTTGGCTTCAATGCTTGATTTTCCCTAACCTTAGTCCTGAGTCTGTATCCTGCCTGTGGCCATCTTTCCATGTGCATGTGAGCCAGGATGCTGAGGGCTCCCCTGACTGCTGTCCACTCATATCTAATTCTAGAAGGTGAAGTGTTTCTATTTCCTGGTAGTACCTCATTAGGGTTTAATGAACTGAAGCTTCGATTACCTCCTTTGTCAATAGACAAACATAAGGGAATAGAAAGTAGGATGAGAAGCTTTCTGTAAATTTAATGATGAGGGTACAGTTTAGCCAATACGCTGCTGAACAGGAGAGAAATAGAACCAAGAGAACTCTCATCTACTTCTCAAGGTTGCTTCCCTGATCTTCTCCTGGTTGGAACTTGGAATCTTCCCTTAAGCGGTCTGTTTTCTTCAACAGCCTATGCTCCATCCTCTCTGAGATTTTGTTCTTATGACATTTTATTGTAGAACAGTATTGGGTGACTCATGCCTCTCACTAGTCACTTCTACCTCACTGGAAATGTGAGGAGAGGCAGGGAACCCAGAGCTTGTCCACGTGGTTATCCAAGGAGTGGCTGGCAGCTGGGTCAGCAGCCAGAGGGTGAGGTACAGAGCAACAAAGATTTGGCCAACTGAGTTCTTGACTGTTGAATGAAGGCGAAGAATAGAACTCAACACTCATGGTTCTACTGGAGGGTCTGAAGTACCGTTAAGGTGATGTTCTTATGATGATGATGATGATGGTGGTGGTGATGACAATGATATAATGATGTTGATGTGATGGAATAATTATGATGGATGACATAAGCTGGTTGACCACAGCATAAGTTCTGATGGTTATTCTGTCATTGATTAGCTTCTAATTTTATTGAGCGTCCACCTTGTGCCAGTACTATGCTCGGTGCTAGAAATGCCATGTTAAATACCACATGTCCCAGTTCTCAGGAAGCTTGTAGTTTACTGGGAGAAGTGGGGGACAAACACTTAAAGCTGATCTTTAACAGAGGGTCTTAGGGCAGCTCAGAGAGAAGCCCCAATCCAGCACAGGGGGAGGAGGGAGGGTCCAGGAATGCCTCCCAGGAGAGGAAATGTCTCAGCTAATGCTGAAGCCTGCGCCAAAGGAAAGCTTGGCTCTTCATTGAGATCTGCCCGTCACATGATGCGGCTGGGGGTCAGGGTCTTTACAGGCAGTGGTGTGGAGGCTGGGAGGGGGAGAGCAGCCAGACTGCACTGAATCCACCTTGGGTTTTATGCTAAGTGCATGGGGGCCATTGAAGGGTTTTGTTTGTTTGCTTGTTTGGTTTGATTTCCCATTTTAACCATTTTTAAGTGTACAATTCAGTGGCTTTAAGTACATTCACAATGTTGTTCAACCATCCCCACTAATCATTTCAAGCACTTTTTCATCACCCCAAACGGAAACTCTATACCTATTAAACAATAACTCCCCCTTCCCCCTTCGTCCCAGCCCAAGGTAACCTCCATTCTACTTTCTGGCTCTACGAATTTGCCTACTCTAGGTACCTGAGGTTAGTGGAATCACACAAGATTTGTCCTTTTGTGACTGGCTTATTTCACTTTACATAAAGTCTTCAAGGTTCATCCATGTTGTAGAATATGCCATAATTTCATCCTTTTTTAAAGCTGAATAATATTCCATTGTATGTATATACCACATTTTGTTTATCCATTCTTCTGTTGGTGAGCATTTGAGTTTCTTCCAGCTTTTGGCTATTGTAAATAATGCTGCTATGAACACTGGTGTGCCATGAAAGGTTCTTAAGCAGGTGGGAAACCTTCTTAGAATACCCTTTAGCAAGACGTCTCTTAGAACTAGGTGGAGGATAAATTTACAAGAGACAACACTGGAAGAAAAGAAAGCAATGAAGACACAATTAAGCGACACAAATTAAGGAAAGATGGAGAACTGTTGAGGTCAATGCCATGGACCTGCTAGCAATTCTAGGGCCATATAACCACACCCCAGCTCTGTCCAGCCTTTCTGGGATCCAAACCCTTGATCATAGGGAGGGTAGGAGAAGTGTCATTGTTCGGGTGTAACTGATGCTAAATCAGCATCGTCACCATCCTGACAGGAAGCAGTGCCACCCACTTCGTCTCTCTCCTTCAGCCGTAGGAGCATTCCAATGTTCCTTGAAGGCTCTGTGCTCTATTCTGTCTCATACAGGCAGTTTCCTCTGCATGGAACCCTCTTCTCCCATGTTCCTCCTTGCCTGTCCTACTCTTCCTTCAGGAAATCCTTCCAGACTTCTCAGTCTAGAACTGGACCCCTTTATATGGCTTATGCTGTCTGTACTTCTCTGTACAGCATCTATCATGATTTCTGACCAGTAAGTAATTATTCCTATTGCCACGTCTGTCTCTCTCACAAGACTGTAAGCTCCGGGAGAGAGGGGCCAGGTGTGCACCCAACACAGCTGTCTCACAGCAGATGCTCCATAGGTAACATCCAGGCAGCAAATGAGCACATGAAATGCGAGTGTGCCCAGGGACCCACAGGCTCCCCACTGCCCTCCCTTCCACCCCTTTCTCGTGTTTCTCGTCCTTTGCCTCAGGTGTCTTCAATCTGTCTCTCTATAGTGGGTCCTTCTCAGTGGCAGGAGGTCTGAGCACAAAGATCTTTGAATTCCTGGTATTGAAAACAGACCTTCCAGACTCTGAGTTGATCCTGAAGGGATTCCCCCAGGGCCCTCTCAGCAACCAGACACTCCCTGGGACCCAGAAGACACCAAAAATATCTTCCGGTAGGCCCAGAAGGCAGAATTTTCTTTTTGAAATTTCTGGAGGGTTTAGGTGTTTGGGGAATTTCAAAAACTAATCTGTTTTAACAAATGGCAGAGTATTTAAAAATAAACGCTCCATCTGTTTTAGTCATTTAGGAGCAGCTTTGACAACTGCTCCCAGCAGTCCTTGGGTTGCATGTGAAATTATTTGGAATTGAGAGAACAAAAATACTTCAATATATTAGCAGTTCTTAAATGCGTTCCTTACCAGCAGATGTTTGGGGAGTGAACGCGAGTTGGTAATATATTCTTGGATAAAATCTTAAGTTTTTCTACAAATCTTGGGGCCAGAACTGTTGAGGTATCAGGCAAGACAGACTCCTGGGATAATTAATAACTTAAATGTATTTCTTTAGCATGTTTGGGGCCATAGAGCACTTTCGATATATTATCTCATAGATTCCTCACATTAATTTGCAAGGGGTGTTTATTTTATTTCCAATCTAGAAATCCGAGGCTCAGAGATGTTTAGTGAAGGAGTGTGTCGAGATTCTTTGTTTTCAGAGATGAGGAAAGGCTTGGTGGCCCAGTTTCAGCTGAGCCCTGAGGAATGGAGTGACTTTCCAGGTGGGGAACTGGATGTGCCGACCACAGAACAGCGATGGAAAGAACTAGAGGAAGGCATGGCATTTTCTAGGAATGACCTTAGCTGGTGAGCCTGGAGTGAAGGGTTCGTGTAGGAATGGAGCAGGAAAGGAGACAGGAAAATTTAGCTTGAGGCCAATTCACGGGGCCTGGCGTTCGTTCTGAGGAAAACACAGCAAAGAAAGGCTAGAACCTAAAGCCAAATCCTGTGTTTTTCCCACTCTATGATGCTGCTTCTCCAGGAAATTGGGACTCTTTGGGGGTCTCAATGTGTAAGAGAGAGCCCAAGCCTAGGATCAAGGAAGCCTGCATTAAGATCCTGGCCTTGGGAGAAACCCTTCACCCTTGCATTCTTCATGGATAAAATAGGCATGATTAATTCTGTCTTCCAAGGCCTTGAGAAGTTGTCATAATGTAAGGTTTGTAAAGTGTCCTGCATAGTATAGGAACTCAAGAAATCCCAGTTCCCCTGTCTCATGCCAGGTGAAGGCAACTCCAACAAACGTGGGGCCAAGGATATTGCACCTGGCCTGGGGGCCGGGATGAAGGAGGTGGAGGGGTGACATTGAAAACATGCATTCTGTGGCTCTGATGCCCTGACCAGTTTTAGGAGAAGACAGAGGAGGTCGTGTCCTCTGTGGTGTGATTCACAGGACCCAGAAGAAATTTCCATTGCTTTCCTTCAACATTGCCCCAATTCTGCATTCCTCAGAAGGAACGCCAGGCCCCATGAATTGGCCCCAAGCTAAATTTTCCTGTCTCCTTTCCTACTCCATTCCTACACGAACTCTCCACTCCAGGGTGACCAGCTAGGACCATTCCTAGAAAATGCCATGCCTTCCTCTAGTTCTTTCCATCACTGTTCTGTGGTCAGCACATCCAGTTCCCCACCTGGAAAGTCACTCCACCCATCAGGGTTCGGCTGAAACTGGGCCGCCAAGCCTTTCCGCATCTCTTAAAGAATTTCGACTTAGTGAACAGACTGCTATTTAGCAATTTGTAGGAGTTCTGCCTTGGTTTGCATGCTCGTTATTTTTCTAATATATCTTATTCCAATCCTACTATGACTGGGTACATGAGTTTATACTTTTAGTACTTCCTTAACACTTAGCACAGTATGTGGTTCGAAGAGGGCACCTGAGACCCTGCTGAGTTCCATTCAGCTAGTGGGGGGAGATAAGGGGTTGGACCCAGAGCACTGTTTTGCCTGTTTTTGCACATGTGTCTTAGTGTGAACATTCTCCCCTGTGCTTCTCTTTTTTTTTTTTTTGTGAGGAAGACCAGCCCTAAGCTAACATCCAATGCCAATCCTCCTGTTTTTGCCGAGGAAGATCTGCCCTGGGCTAACATCCGTGTCCATTTTCCTCTACTTTATATGGGACACCACCACATCATGGCTTGATAAGCGGTGCGTTGGTGTGTGCCCGGGATCCGAACCAGTGAACCCTCGGGCCGCCAAAGCAAAGCGCACGCACTCAACTGCTGCATCACCGGGCCTGGCCCTCTCCTGTACTTCTCTTAATCAAAATAGACCCAGCT